TTTCACCACAGAATAGAGAAAATCAGACCCCGTGTCTCCTGATTCCCCATCTAATGTCCTTCCATTATACTATTCTATTTTTTATAGAGCCAAAGACTTTTGTTCTTCATAATATGTACTGTTTGGCCTGTAGATTAAATGGTTTAGGAATAACTGAAGAGTCATGGACCTGATAGTGCATTCTGATTGGGATATTACCTACGGTAGATTATCTGTTGCAAAGTCTTCATCTCTTTTCATCTTTGAGACTTCAAAACCTACATTCCTTCCTCTATACTTCACTGCTTCCTCTAGAACTTTTTGCTATTAGACTATCCCCAAATGACAGATTATTGTTCTCTAGATACAAATTGGGGTCCACTGGTAGATTTTGTTTTCTTTGAGGCCAAGCTAAGTATAATTTTTTTTTTTTGTATTCCTTAGCAGCCGGCACATAATTGGCGGTCACTATATGTTTGTCAAATGCATTTTTTAAAGGATAAACTTTATAAATTATATCTTGAATTACAAACAACTTTGAAATGTCTATTTCATTGTTTTCTTTCAGTTATACATAGTAATATAAATTTTTAGGGGGAGAAAAATTCTTAGCATTCTAACAATATAGCGTGTCATTAGTCTTTATTAATGTAATCTCAGCTTCTCGTAGGTCTAAAAATAGTGATGGATTTATGTTTAAAACAAACATATTATGATTAAGTGGCTAATCGATACGGTAATAACAGCTATGATTTGTTGAATGCTATTTCTATGGAAAATCCTTTAGGAACATTTATATTAATTATTTTTCCTTCTCACAGCAAAACTGTAAATAGAAGAAATATTGTCCCCATTCACATGAAGAAGCTGAGACTCAGAGGAGTTAAGTAGCTCACTCAAGTAGACATAGCTAGTTAGTCATGGATTTGAATAGCCCTTTCCTGACTTCAAAGTTTTTATTCTTTTAATTTTTTTTATTTCGTCATATTACAGGAGTACAAATGTTTAGGTTACATATATTGCCTTTGCCCCACCCGAGTCAGAGCTTCAAGCGTGTCCATCCCCCAGATGGTGTGCACTGCACCTATTAGGTGTGAATATACCCGTCCCCTCCTCCTCCCTCCTACCTGCCTGACACCCAATGAATGTTACTACTATATGTGCACTTAAGTGTTGGTCAGTTAAGTCAGTTAATACCAACTGATGGTGAGTACATATGGTGCTTGTTTTTCCATTCTTGTGATACTTCACTTAGTAGAATGGGCTCCACCTCTATCCAGGATAGTACAAGTGGTACTAGATCACCATTGTTTTTTGTGGCTGAGTAGAACCCCATGGTATACATATACCACATTTTATTAATCCACTCATGAATTGATGGATACTTGGGTTGTTTCCACATCTTTGCAATTGTGAATTGTGCTGCTATGAACATTTGAGTGCAGGTGTCTTTTTCATAGAGCAACTTTTGTTCTTTTGGGTAGATGCCCAGTAATGGGATTGCTGGGGCAAATGGTAGTTCTACTTGTAGCTCTTTGAAGTATCTCCATATTACTTTCCACAGAGGTTGTACTAGTTTGCAGTCCTACCAGCAGTGTATGAGTGTTCCTCTCTCTCCACATCCATGCCAACATTTATTGTTTTTTGACTTTTTGATAAAGGCCATTCTCATTGGAGATAAGTGATACCTCATTGTGGTTTTGATTTGCATTTCCCTGATGATTAGAGATGTTGAGCATTTTTTTCATATGTTTGCTGTCCATTGGTCTGTCTTCTTTTGAAAAGTTTCTGTTCGTGTCCTTTGCCCACTTTTTGATAGGGTTGTTTGATTTTTTCCTTGCTGATTTTCCTGAGTTCTATATAGATTCTAGTTATCAGCCCTTTATCAGATGAGTAATATGCCAATATTTTATTCCATTCTGTAGGTTGTCTGTTTGCTCCTTGGCTGTGCAGAAGCTTTTTAATTTGATCAGGTCCCATTTATTTATATTGGTTGTTGCTGTGATTGCCTTTGGGGTCTTCTTCATAAATTCTTTCCCTAGGCCAATGTCTGTAAGAGTTTTTCCAATAGTTTCTTCTAGGATTCCTATGGTTTCATGCCTTAGGTTTAAGTCTGTTATCCACGGTGATTTGATTTTTGTGAGGGGTGGTAGGTGCGGATCCTGTTTCAGTCTTCTACATGTGGCTATCCAATTTTCCCAGCACCATTTATAGAATAAGGATTCTTTTCTCCAGTGTATGTTTTTGTCTGCTTTGTCAAAGATGAGATAGCTATATGAGGAGTTTTTATATCGGGGTTCTCAGTTCTGTTTTGTTGGTCTGTGCCTCTGTTCTTGTGCCAGTACCATGCTGTTTTGTTACTATAGCCTTGTAGTATAGCTTGAAATCTGGTAAATTGATGCCTCCCAATTTGTTCTTTTTGCTTAAGATTGCTTTTGCTATGCAGGGGCTTCTCTGGTTCCATACGAAGCGTAGAATTATTTTTTCTAGATCTGCAAAAAATAGTGTTGGTATTTTAATAGGGATTGCATTAAATCTGTAGATCACTTGGTAGTATAGGCATTTTAACAATGTTGATTCTGCCGACCCATGAACATGGTATGGTTTTCCACCTGTTTACATCCTCTGCTATTTCCTTCCTCAGTATTTCATAGTTTTCACTGTAGAGGTCTTTTACCTCCTTAGTTAAATATATTCCTAGGCATTTTATTTTCTTTGTTGCTATTGTGAAGGGTATTGAGTCTTTAATTTGGTTCTTAGCTGGCTCTGTGGTGCAATGGATAGTGCACTGGACTTCTAGCAAAGCTTTTATTCTTTCTACTTCATCATGCTATTGTATTGAAAAATTTCCCAATAAGTTAAGAACACATAAAGACTTTGTGTTTGAATGTATCACTGTTTATATAAAATTCTTTTGCAGATACATGGTTTAAACTCCTTTCATGAATCTTCACCATTTCAGTGGCCTAACACAATAGGAGTTTTGTTTTCTCACTCACATAAACTCTAAAATGGATGATCAGGCTGGGCACAGGGGCTCATGCCTGTAATCCTAGTACTCTGGGAGGAGACTGAGGTGGGAGGATCGCTTGAGGTCAGGAGCTAGAGACCAGCCTGAACAAGAGCAAGACCCCATCTCTACTAAAAATAGAAAAATTAGCCTGGCATGCACCTGGAATCCCAGCTACTCAAGAGACTGAGGCCGGAGAACCACTTGAGCCAAGGAGTTTGAGGTTGCTGTGAGCTAAGCTGATACCACAGCACTCTAGCTCAGGTGACAGAGTGACACTCCTTCTAAAATAAAATAATACAATTAAATAAAATATAAAATAAAATCAATAGACAGTTCTCCAAGCATTGATTCAGGCTCTTTACATATTGTGACCCTATTGGCATCATGTGGCTTCCAAGGCAGAAAGAGCATGGAGGATTATACTTGGATGGTTTTTATGGGCAAGGCCTGAAGTGGCATATAGGACTTCCACTAGGATTCTGTTGGCTTCAGCTCAATTTTGTGGCCACACTTAATCATAAACAGGTTGTATAACAGAGTCTAGCTGGTGCCCAGGAAGAAGAAGAAATGAGTTAGGCAAACAGCTAGCCAGTCTCTGTCATAGCATCTTTAATATGTAAATAAATCTTATAAATCAGTAAGAAAAAACAGGCATCACCCCCAGTAGAAAAATGGGCAAAGGCACTACACAAAAGAAGAAAAATGATCGCTAAATATATGCTAATATGCTTTATTTAGCACAAATCAAAGAAACGCAAATTAAAACAACAGCGTAATATCATTTTTTAATCTATCTAATTGGTGTATTTAATGGCAGGAGTCTGTGAAAATAGGTCTACTCATAAGTTGGTGGTGGATGTGTTAAATTGGCTTAGCCTTTCTGGTGACCTATTTGACAATATGTTATCAGCATTTTACTTGAGCATACCCTTTGATCTAGCAATTCTTCTAATAGTTTACTCTAAGGAAATAAATGGACAAAAACTCAAAAATGTATAAATTAAAATGTCCATTGCTACTTTGTTTATAAAGCCAAAAAAATGGAAATAAGTTAAATGTCCATGAATAAGGAATTGGTTAAATTCCATATAGTAGAATACAGTGTAACCGTTAAAGAGTATGAAATAGATATATATATGTTAACCTTGAAAGATGTCACATTTTTAAGTGAAAAACAGATTCCAGAGTAAAATCCCATTTATATAAAATATGTGTATATATGTAAATACATATAAATGTGCATATGTATATGCATGTATGCATATATTTAAACAAAAAATGTCTAGAAGTATATAAATAAGTGTTAACAGTGTTGTTGGGTGGGATTATGGAAGATTACCACTTTCTACTTTATTTCTGTATTTTTTGCCTTTTTTGGTAATAGATTAATTTTATAATGAAGAAAATACTATCTTTAAAAAAACGAATTTCTTCAAATCTTAAATAAATCTGTTTTATGATATACAAATCTATTTGGTACTTTAAAATCATCTCCCACAAGGTTTTATGTAGTGTTTGTTTATATAACTCTAGTATTTATTTTTATATATCTCCTTTTAAATTATTCTGAATAACTAGAGAGTCAGTAGTGAGAAGTATGAAATTTTAAAGTCTCCTGAGAAATGGAAGCTATTATTGTGAGGCTGATTATCTTAGTTGTGTAAGAGAGGTTTTGAATCTCAAAAACAAATGCTTACTCCTTTCTGAAGAGAGATTTTCTAAGAGGATCCCAATTATAAAGGTGTCCGGCTGTCTGTGTTAGAATCCTAGCTCTGCTATTTGCTAGCCACTTGACTTTGAGCTAGTGATTTAACTGCGTCTGCCTCAATCTCCTCATCTGTAAAATGAGGATAGTAATAGGACTTACCTTATAAGATTGTTGTAAGCATTAAAAGAGATAATTGTAGCACAGTGTACATAAATAATAAACAATAGTTATTATTCTTACTTTTCTATGTTTTTTACTTCCTAATGTTTTTTTTTGGTTGCGGGTTTGATTCTGTATCAGGTTCAGAGCATCATTCGTTCCCAAACCAGTATGGGTATGCGTCACAGAGATCGTCCTACTACTGGGAACACCCTCAAGTCCGGCTTGTGTTCAGCCCTCACAACCTACTTTTTTGGAGCTGATCTCAAGGGGAAGCTGACAATCAAAAACTTCCTTGAATTTCAGCGTAAACTTCAGCATGATGTTCTGAAGCTAGAGGTAGGTATTCCTTGGACTTCAGGAGATCCATCACATATGGAGCCACTGGGCTAGGAGGGCTGGTACTGTAGGTGTCCTTTCAGTTTGTCTCCAACTGTGAGAACTGATTTGTTTGACCCTTATCGGTGATCTACAAACTGACAGCAGGTAGAAAATAACGTATTCTGTGAAAATGTCACAGAGTAAGGTGGTTCTAAATCTAAAAACCAAAAAATTCTAAATTGAACATCTTAGTTGTCTTTGGATCGCCAGCTTATAGAGAAAAACATTCAGTGGTCAGAGCAGTTCACAACCTGAGCATGTAGCCCCACTTTTATGTTTATTGTGTGGAAGGCACCAGAAAGTGGAGATGAAGATGGATAATAAATAGCTCTTTCTGTGAATGTTTGCAAAGGTAATTACGGCCAGAAACACAAAATATCAGAATGAAAATGTATGTACTCAGAGTTGCAAAGGTGTCTTAACTTCATTTGGAGATTTACAAGTTTGCTTTTCCACTTAAAGTTTAGACCATCATGCTAGTTAGTCACTGTGGACAACTCTCTAATTACCATTTCTGCATTTATATTTAATGAATTAAGTGTTTTGGGTTAATTGGCTATTCTGTTGAGTTTAAAATATTCACCAAATGCCTTCTATATGCCCTTTTGTCTGGAGACAAAAAATGAAGTCTCTAATTTCTTGAGGTTTTTAAAAATTCCTTTATACTGATGTTTCTCAACCTCTTTTTCTTTCAACACATGCCTTACTTTAATATTATTTGAAATTTCAAACATTAAATACTGTGACTAAAAACATGTAAAATTATTGGAGAAAAGCACTGCTTTGTTTTTAAGCTACACATATTACTTCTCTATCTGCTCTCCCATTTTTCCCCAAGATTCTGATATACTGTTCCACCTTTTCCACCAACTTGACTCAGTTTGAGACAAGTTTGAAAATCACAACTGAATTCCAATTATCCTTAAGAATGCTATTTAATATTGATACTCTAGGAGAAAAGAAGAAGGATAGATAATATTAAAAATTGGATCAGGCCGGGTGCGGTGGCTCACGCCTGTAATCCTAGCACTCTGGGAGGCCAAGGCGGGTGGATTGTTTGAGCTCAGGAGTTCGAGACCAGCCTGAGCAAGAGTGAGACCCCATCTCTACTAAAAATAGAAAGAAATTAATCGGACAACTAAAAATATATAGAAAAAATTAGCCGGGCATGGTGGCACATGCCTGTAATCCTAGCTACTCGGGAGGCTGAGGCAGAAGGATTGCTTGAGCCCAGGAGTTTGAGGTTGCTGTGAGCTAGGATGACGCCACGGCACTCTAGCCCCAGGCAACACAGTAAGACTCTGTATCAAAAAAAAAAAAAAAAAAAATGGATCAAATTTTGAAATGTGTTTTTGTACATATTTTTTGAAAATGATATAATTGATATTCAGAGAATTCACTTCCAAAAAACAAAGTAATGATGCTAGGCACAGTGGCGTGTAGTTGTAGTCCCAGCTACTGGGAAGCTGAGGCAGGAGAATCACTTGAGCCCAAGAGTTCAAGGCCAGCCTGGGCAACTGGGCAACATAGTGAGACTGTGTTTCTAAAAAATAAAAGAAAAGGAAAGGAATTTCTACAATTTTGCTAAGCTTCTTGTGGAGGCTCTTGTAGCCCCCATAACAGGTGGCAGGGGCTTTATATACATCAGGTCCTCAAATAACATCCTTTCATTGTAACATTGATGAGGAAAAAATATTGATTCCTAGCTAAAGCCACTATCTGTGTGGAGTTTGCACATTCTCCTCATGTGTGCATGGGTTTTCTCCAGGTACTCCAGTTTCTTCCCACGTCCCACAGGTGTGCATGTTTGATGAATTAGCATGTCTAAATAGTCCCAGTTTGAGTGGGTGTGAGTTTGTGTGTGAGTGTGCCCAGCAATGGAATGGCGTCATGTTCAGGGTTGGTTCCCACTTTGCACCCGGAGCTGCCAAAATAGTCTGTGGCCATCCTCTACCCTGAACTGGAATAAGTGGGTTGAAAATGAATGCATGAATTAATATAAATTATTATAAAATAAAAATTCATAAAGTAGATGATAATCATACAAATACACAACCGTAAACGATGCAATATAAAAGCACTCAGCAAGCCCACCATATGTGTCATTGTTTTCGAACTGTGTAGTGGGAGGAGGTGCTGCTTATAATTTTCACTTTGAAAACATTTATTCCTTGATTTGACCCACCACCACTACGACTACCATCACTCAATGATTCACCGAAAATTGGGTAAATCATTATCTTCGTTGTTTTTTGTCAATCTTTTTTAAAAGTATATATATAGCTCACATTGGTTCCAGTGTTTAAGATTAGAAATGTTTTGAGTCTTTATTTAGAAATTTGGTGATGTTTTTATGACCAGAAATATGCCATAGGAACTTTTATTTATATCAATTAGCCTATAGTAAAATTGGTTTTGTTATACATCGTTTCACTTAAAGTCACGGGTTCCAAGAACCTGTTGATGATGTTAAGTGAGGACTTACTGTGTAGTAAGAGATCAACAAACATTTACAAAGTTGAAAAGCTTTAATGTTTTTCTAGTCTAACTCCCTTATACTGATGGATAGGTAGCTTTCTCTGTCTAGTGAAAAGCACAGGCTAAGTAAGCATCAGGAAAGGTAGTGAAGTGTTTAGATTTCAAAGACTTTTCACCATTGCCTGCAGAGGAATATGACATATCAACCTAGCAAACTACTTGAAAAGATTTCAACAGTCATCGAAACAAAAGAGATTATCTGGTCAGTGCTCAGTTAACCAGAAAATTAGTCCTAAATTAACTATAATACCTCAGTTTCTAAATATTCTAGTTAGTGAAGTTTTGCTTTTGTCTAGTTGTACATGGAGGGCTCTGTCTTCAGAATAAGCACAGTACTCAGGTTTTTGCCAATTACCTTGCCACAGTAAACCATAGCAAATAATAGAGTTCAAATTAAACTTCGTGAAATGAAGAAAATTTATGTCCAATAGCATTTAAGCATTGGGCTTGTAGAACTTTATTTGGAAATGGTAGTGTTACTATTTTCACTCTGTGGAAAGCAGATAATTCTCAGGCAATGAGTTTTTTTCACTGATTTATATCGAATTGGGTATTGTATATATAAAATATACTAGATATGTTACAACAACAAAAATATATATACACAAAAAAAGGCATAGTGTTTACCTTTGTGAATTTTGCATTCTTATAGAAACATTCCAATATACTTCTCAGAGTATGGAAGAAAGAAGTAGACTTCATCCAACAATTTTTGTGTAAGGGTTAATACGTACTGGGATTCAAGTCACATATCCTGGTTCCTAGTATGCATACCCAGACTTGTCTTCTTTGGAAACATTATAACATAATCTGGAAATGTAAATGATTTAACTTGTTAATTATATAATTATAATTTTAAAAGAGCATAGATCCATAAAATGTAGTTAGAGAATAAAGCACAAACTGGGTGGTATTTTTAACAAAAACAATACGGATCAACCAGAGAGCTGAGTAGGTACCAGCCTGACCACAATCTAGCCCAGTACTCATTCCTGGAAATACAAATGGGAATCTAGAGAAACAGAGCATGGGACTTTCATCTTGTAATGGCACAGGTCCAGTGCTATGGTTTGAATATGCCCCCCAAAGTTCACATGTTGGAAATTTAATTGCCATTGTGACACTGTCGAGAAGCAGAACCTTTAAGAGGTGATTAGGTCATGAGGGCTCTGCCTTTGTGAATGGATTAGTGCTGTTACCATGGGAGTGAGTTAGTTATTGCAGTAGTGGACTCCTGATAAAGGGTAAGTTTGGCTCCCCATTTGCTCTCTGTCTCACATGCTCACTTACCCTTCATGGGGATGACCCTTGCCAGTTCCAGTGCCATACTTTTGGACTTCTCAGCCTCCAGAACCATGAGCCAAATAAACTTCCGTTCTTTATAAATTACCCAGTCTGTGTACTCTGTTAAAGCAGCAGCAAACGGACTGAGATATCCATTGAATTAAGTGCCTTCTTATTGATATCACCCTTATTTAAACTTTCATCACTCAGTACTCTGTCTTCCCAAGTAGATTTGTATTTCTTTGAGGAAGTGTGACTAGCAGAAAGAGTGTAGGCTTTGATGCTAATGAGGCAAAGGTTAAAATTTTGGTTACACCACTTACTGGCTATATGATATCTGATGAGTTATTTATTCTCTCAAAGCCTAGTTCCTCACTTGTAAAACAGGGCAATGGTTAAGTGACATGATATTTGTTATAGGCTGACTTGTATTGCCTCGAAATTCATATGTTGAAGTCCTACCCCTCAGTACCTGAGAATGTAACCTTATTTGGAGATAACATCTTTAAAGAAGTGTTTAAGTTAAATGAGGCTGTTAGAATGGGCCCTAATCCAATCTGACTGGTATCCTGATAAGAAGAGGAAATTTGGATACACAGAGACACAAAGGGTAGACATGCACAGAGACAATCATGTGAAGAGGCAGCTAGAGGGCAGCCATCTGTTAGTCAAGGAGAGAAGCCTCAGAGGAAACCAACCCTGCTGGCACGCTGAGCTTGAATTTACAGCCTCCAGAACTATGAGAAAATAAATTCCTATTGTTTAAGCCACCCAGTCTATAGAATTTTGTTATGGCAGCCCTATCAAACTAATGCAATGTTACATACCTAACACCACCTGGCATGTATTAATGTTATGTCTTTAATAATATGTTTTCACCTTCTCTTGTATACCCGCTGCCACCTACTATGGCAGTAGGCATATAGTAAGCACTTTTTTTTTTAGAGAGAGAGAGGGTCTTACTCTGTCACCCAGGATGGAGTACAGTAACATGATCATAGCTCACTGCAACCTTGAACTCCTGGGCTCAAGTGATCCTCCCACCTTTGCCTCCCAAAGTGCTGGGATAACAGGCATAAGCCACTGCACCTGGCCAATAGTAAGGACTTAAACAGGTCATCTCACTTGAATGATTG